AAAAAAAAAAAAAAAAAAAAAAAAAAAAAAAACAGTATTTTCTTACATAATGTTTCTTGGGCAGTAAAAAAAATGAAATATTAATTTTTTTAATAAATTTAAAACAAATGATGGTGCTTATACACTCATGCTGGAGATATTGGATTATCGTAACAAAATTTTCTTACTTTTAATCGAAGCAATCTTAATAGGGCATCTTGGGTGATCATTTGTGAGTATATACTAGTATTTGTTAAATGTGCTTAATGATTATTGTGTTTAAGAAATTGACTAGGAAAATATTATTACTGTGAGTGAGCTATGGCTCGTTAGCTACATTTCTTTATATTTTATGTCAATTTTAGTTCATACATCGTCCATTTCACGTTTTTCTGCTTTTTTTTTTCTAGAAAAAGGAACAAGTCTTTGCTTTATAATTTCAGTATTACTATTTCGCCTTGAATGATCTGGATCTCAAGTCTTTGATTATGATCGTGAAAACTGACAGTTTTTTAACTGTCTTTCTTTTACTTGGTCTTATGTATGCATCTTAAATTATTGATTTGGATTTGAAACTATCAGGTTCGGATGTTATTTTAACTTATATTATCATCTCGTCTCTTTTGATGGTCGTCTTTCTTCGTTTTATTTATTGTTGAATTAGTTATTGCTCATTCTTTTGAACTATTTTCCCTGACAAACGTGTTGCTTGCAGTAAGGAGCAATTGGAAACCAAATTACTGTATGCCATAAATGCCGATGCTGGCTTTGATTTAAGTTAAAACGAGGCAGTGGAATTTACGATGCCTTTAGGTTTCAAGCTGGTAGAGAATGACGATCGCCAGTGGATTCGGAAACGACAAATAATCGGATGGATACAACTGAATAAAATTATCTCATGTGCGAGTTTTTGTATATATATATTCTTATTCAATCTTTATTGTCAATTTGTGTCTTTATCTAAATTTACATATCTAAAATATCAATTATTTTGTAAAGTTCACTCTGGCAGGGTTTTTTTCCATGATCATTGAAACAAAAATCCACAGGGTTGTTGTTATTTTGCATCTGATGGTGAGTTTGGAAATTGGGTTTTGAAAACCTTTTTCATTTCTGACCAATATTCTTTAATTTGATATGTATATTTTTTAAAATGGAAGAAATAAAATGATGAATGACACTGTTATAATCTCTTGTTTATATTTGTGTGAGCCATACACGATTCTCTTAATTTAAAAAATAATAAAATTTCCCTTTTCTTTATCTTTAAAATCTTACTATGTTATGCCAATTTCATCAATCTGACTTGACCGAAGAAAAAAAGACTAGGTTTGGATTTACGAATTTCATTGGTATAAATTTGTTTGTTTCGAGTCGGGATTTAGTTTTAACAATTTCACACTCGACTGTCTTGGCCTGATTATATATATGTAAAAAAATTAATGTAGTATCTAATAAAATAAAATATCAATGTGATCGAGGGATGTGATCGAATTGATTTGATTGGGATTGATATTTTAAATTGAAAAATAACTAATATTTACCCAATCGAAATTTTTTTACTGGTTTGGATTCAAAATTTTCCGAACCTGACTCGATTTAAACCGTGTTCACCACCTTCTAATCCTGACTTACGGATTTTGTTCAGGAATAATGGATAAGTATTTAACAAAATGAAATTAAAATTAAGATATATATTCAAATATTGCTTGAAAGATTTAAGTTTATCAATTCAAACATTTAGATGCTTCGACTTGCAAAATATCCAAGTTCACATGGATGTCCTGAAGATTTTTGAAAATGCTAATAGTTGTATTGCTTTAACATTGTTACATTGCTCACCGTAAAGTTTATTTGATGGAGACAAATTTATAATGAATGCTCACTGTATACATCCACATGAACACTGGCTTCAACTGCAGTAGTGGAACTATATAAACATGTTACGATGCATAGCAATAAATATAGTCTTCCAAGTTTATTGGACGATGAATATATTCCAGCCAAATATTGATAGTTTTACTTTTATCTATTAACTCGAGCAAAAAAATGTAAGCAACTTAGATAAATATTTGATGGTTACAAGCAATATTATATAAAAAAAAATAAAAAAAAGTAAGGAAAAAAAAGACCTCGAAATTGTGAATCATCATTCTTCAGCTGGTGGCACCTCACTCAGATCCAGTCCCTCTTCAGGCAAGTCTGAAGTAAATGGTCCCAGGATCCCATCACTGCTGAGAGTCAATCCACTCTGCCAACATAAAATTATTTGGGTGACAATGGTCGCAAATATCATACCTCTAGAATCTATATATTGATGTTATAGGTGATCCAAGTAAAATATCAAACCCTAAGATAAATTGCTAATCAATGTAAGCATAAATGTATTCTTATCTTAAGTCATGTAATTAAATGAGTCAGATGTCTAAAATACCAAGTGCAACTTTCATTCAAATGTATGTCCATTTAAGTCATTTTATTCTTTTTCATTTCAGAAGCTCCAATACTCTGCTGCGGCAGTGTTACCCTATTGCAAGATATGAGACTTCAGTCTCCCATTGGATTTATAAGGTCTTGGACTCTCGAACTAAAATGGCTAGCTTTTGCTGCATTGTTCTTCCTAGATTCTTATCGAGCAGCAACAACCTGACTTTCTGATAGTCTTTGTATCTTAGTCTTACTTCAATCCCTTGCTGTTTCTCCATTTTTATTGGATTCGGAATTTTGAACAAATAATAAACCAATAGATACCTCAGGCTGGAACCTAAGCATGTCTGCACGAGCCATAGCTTCTGCTTGGGCTATTCTCTGTCTGAATGTCTGAGCCATCTCCTCCGCCTATAAGGAAAAAAAAAACCCAGAAATATGGGAGTGAATTCTCCTTCAGAAATGCCAAAGCTAATGAAAAGGGTTGAGTAAAAATTTAAAACAACTAAAAGGGAATAGAACAAAAAAAGGAGACATCGTTTTTATGATGTCAAACTGTGGCATTAGATAGCTAAAAAAGCAGGAAGTGGAAATAAATTTTGTCTAATGAAGCCATTGACATGTAACAAGTAAAAGGTTCAAGAAGCTTGCATGTAAAATACCTTCTCAAAGACAAGCTTTGGATTGCGGATCATGTCTCCAGGTGTGGGCTCTAACTTCTTAGTGGAGAGACTTACTCGACCTCTCTCTCGATCATGACTTAAGATCATCACCTAAACAAATAAAAAACTTGACATTTTTATGTCCTATAAAAACATCCACATGAATTCTTGATATATGTTTACCTTTAGTATGTCACCAGGCTGAAGTACAGTTGAAATATCCGTTACACGGTCATGACTTATCTGACTAACATGAAGGAGACCATTAATTCCACCAATGTCAATGAAGGCACCATATGGCTTCAGGCTTTGAACAGAGCCAGTAACTACTGATCCAATTCCTAGCTGTGCCTGGTTGCCAGCTATGGCCTTGCGGTTACTCAGAACAAGTCTAGATTGTTCCTCATCTACCTCCACAAACTTAAGAGGAAGCTCCTTTTCAAGAAGCTCTTCTACATTTGTGTTCTGAGATGATAATAACCAAAATGAGAAGAATTTGAGCTATTTGTTAAAAGTATAAAAAATTGTAAACCCGGTATATTAGGATGCTACATGAAAGACATAAATGACCGACCATGAGAAGTTTTTGTTATTGTTTTCTGCAAAATGATCTAATTTATAACTCGTAGAAGCATAAAAGTTATGTTAAGAAAATTGCATGACTCAATTTCAACTTAAATGAGAATATAAGAAGATATTTTTTAACACTTTACATGATATGTTAGTAAATGTTATACTAATAATTTGCAGTTATTGATTAATACAACACCCAACGTGATCTAATTTATAACTTGTAGAAGCATACAAGAACTGTTAAGAAAATTGTATGATTCAATTTCATCTCCAGTTAGAATATTATATATATTTTTGAACTGTTACATGGTATGTTAGTAAATGTCACACTAACAGTAATTTGCAGTTTTTTGATTGGTAAAACACAACTAGTTTCCTACCCCATAATTTCAAACTCTTGACATGAATTTCAATATGGCTCAAGAGCTAACCGTTGATATTTGTGACAATGGAACAAACCCTCTAAGCCCTTCCACCTCAGCCACCACTCCACCTTTGTTTGCCCCCACAATCTGTTAACACAATAACGTAAGATCAAATTAACCTTATTGAAGGGCTAATAACAGAAATAAGTGAATTAAACACAGTTCCATAGTACGACAAAACCCACCTTACCCTTGACAATAACATCTTCTGCCTGAAGCTGTCGACAACGTTCCCATGCAAGATCAAACTGGATAGACCTCAAACTCAAGATCAAGCTATCATCTGCTTCATTCTCACCAATGATCAAAAACTCCTCTCTCAACCCAGCAACTATGCCAGCTTCTTCCACGTGCTTAACCCTACGGATGCTCGCCTCTTGAAGTGGCAAATATGCTGAAGACTTTGCAGTGATATCAACAACTGCTCCATTGGCATCTGTGTAGAACACAGTGCCTTTAACCTGAGTGAAACATGCACCCATAATTAATTAGACCGTGTTTAAATAAATATATCATATTATGGACCTACACGAGAAGAGAATAAAAAGATAAAAATGAATTGAAGTTTTTAAAATCAAATTTAATGTACTTAGCTTTTGAATAATTATATTCATTTATCCCAACTTCTTTTTCTCATCTTACTTTCACTCAATTTTAGTTTCTGTCTTCCTTTCCAATCACCTTATTTGTTGCATTTTTCTTTTCTCTATTTATCTCTTCCTTTCACCTATACTCTTTAAAAATGGGGTGTACACCGAACATTTTCCTTAACTTTTAGACTAACTTCTATAGAAGTTGAGATGCATGAGTTGATTTTAACTTTCTTTCCGATCACATTTATCCATTTTTCTGTCTTCCACCAGTACACCTCAAACATGGTGTGTACATTGAACATTTTTCTTAACTTGTATAGGATCACTCTCTTTTAAATTCTTCAAAATGCACAAGTAGATTTTATCTTACGAAGTTCTTATCTTCTTTTTTTTTTCCCTATAAGTACTCACGAAGAAGTTTATAGGAATTAGTTTTATGATAACACGATGTTAAGAAAGTGATACATGAACCTAATTAAACTTTATAAAACTGGTTCTTAAGTTGAAGATTATATTTTACTTATATACATCGTATTAGTCATCTGAGATCTCTAACACGCAATTAGCAATTGAATGGAAGAGTGAGTGAGGGAGTGACCTTGGTGCCAACTTCAGAATCGAAGTCGTACTTGTCGAGAGCGGCAGTGAAGTCTTCGATGGTGAAGGAAACTCCCTCCATGGGAGCAGTGCGGCATCTCTCGTAGGCTTCATGGAAGAGTTGTTTGAGTTTGACTCTCTCTTTGTTCTGAGCATTGGATATTGCTATGGAGTTGAGTATGGGAATTGAAAGGCGCTTATGGGATTGTTGAGTGAAAAGAGAGGGTTTGGAGAAGATGGAAGAGGAGAGTGGAGAACACCTGAGGCCGCTGAATTGCAGAGACAGAGACGCCATGTCATGTCATGTGATGTGTGGTGCCATTGCCACAGATAAGGTGCACTCTTATTATTAGTCACTCCTTTCACTTTCACTTTGGATGGATAACGTATTTTTAACCGTTTTCTTTTTCTTTTTCGCAATTCAGTTCTTTTTTTTTTTTTTTACTTTATTTATGTATTTGATATTTGATTTAGGAAAGGAAGGGAAAAAATTATAAAAAACATTTTTATTTCTTAAATATTTTTAAATAAATTATATGAAAACATTAATAAATACTTTACAAAATAATTCTTAAATATTTTTAAATAAATATGGAGACATGAAGTAACTCAGTCGCATTAATTTTAAGTAAGAAATTTTTAAATTTTTTTTTAACTTTTTATTTCTTTCTGTATATCATTTTTATTTCTAAATTAAAATTTAATATTTAAAGAAATTAACAATCATCGAAAATTTAAACATCTTAATATTATTTATTATACACTTACTGTTAATTAAATAAGAAATTGTAAGAAGGAAAAAGACGAGTTAAGCTTTGGAAAAGAAAGGAGAGAGGGCAAAGGCGAAGGGAGTTAGGTTGTGTTGTGTTCCTCCGCCGTACAGATGAGTTCCGCCGGTAACAAACCATTTCGATTTCAATCAATCTTGACTCCTACAATTCCATTTCTCTCAAATACATATATCTATTCCTCGTTTACGCACTTCATTATGCATATTTTTAATAAAAAAATCAGTATTTGTCTTTTCACTATGCCACTGATTACTGTCAAAACCCTAATTCACTACATTCTCCTCTTCCTTTATTTGTTTTAACGTTTGATTCATTCCATTGCCTCTTGTTGGAGATCACCCTTCACATTTAGGTCCAATCTAGTTTGCGCGTTAGGCATGGGGAAAGTTAATGGTAAATAAAGTTTCATTTTTTCTTCATGGGTCTTGATGGTTCAATACACTTATTTCTTCAATCATATACATGGTGTCCAGCAAGTGTTGCCGGTGAAACTCTGGTCATTTTTTGTTTTAAGTGGTTTTATTACCATAGTTTGTCCAATTCTTTATTTTGTGGATATAAGATGGGGTTGCTTTGACTCACAATTTAGGTTTTATGTTTCAGATACTGTCAATGCGAATTCTACCGACTCTGTCAAAGAACCTGTCCCAGGGTCAAGCCTGGAAGCAAAACAGGAGGATACTGGTGAGGTTTTGGTTTCAATATGCATGTCAAAACTTTTGTTTTTCTTCTGTAATCATTGGTGTATTGTGGAGATTAATGTTTTTTGTTGGGAATAAATTTGCTCACGTCACATGCTCCTTCTCTTGGTAGAAATCAAAGCTCAAGTTGATGCCATGTGGGAACAAATGAATAAAGGAGTATCTAATAAAATCCTCAACAGATTTACAAGCAAGCCTATTTCCGCTCCGAAAAAAGCTGCAAAGAAGTCATCTTCTGTAAGGCCTTGCTGTTGCTCTCTTCTTAAAGTCATTTGTTTAAAGTAAAATAACACTCTTCCCACAGTTAGAGTTCAATTTCCTTCACCCCACAAACTTCGAAC